CAACATTATTTGGATTGGTTTACTGTAATTGTATGTATTTACTGTAATTGTATGTATTTGACCAATGAAGAGTTGGACAGTTCTGTGGTTTGACAACTATCCTCACATTTTTATTATAAAAATTTGACACAAATCTTCCCTGTGAAACCCTCTAAACTCAGTGCCATTTCTGGAGGTATAATTCATCCACTTGAGTGGTTTTGTAGTTTGGGTGATGCCCATGTGTGATGACTAACAATTCTAAAGGTCATCAGAAAAGGGAGTCTCCCAGTGACTCACAGCCATGTCGAAAACACAGCTCTCTCTGAGCTTTGCCCTCACAAGGTTCCTAATTAAATGTTTCCCTTCCTTGAGGCTGAGGATTGAACTCACAGCCCCATATGGCTGTCACGAAGAGTAAAGGGTAGTTAGAGCTCCTAGGACACAGGTACCCTGGAACAACACGTGTCTACACCTCTACCTACACAACTATCAGAGAAGACCAAACCACTACCAGGCAGAGTTGCACTTATGTGTTCTCACCTGTACTACAAGATAGAAAAGTAGGCGGGGGCCGAACAGAGTTAATACAGGGCTGGCTATAGAAGAGCAAAATAAAACAGGTGGAAAGAGTGACTGAATAAAGCTAGGGATGGGTTACTAACAAGTTTCTTGAGTAGGGGACTAATTTTTTTTTTTTAAATAAAATCTTATGACAGTGACCTAAGAGCAAGATGGTGGGACTGTTAGAAATGGGGAAATAGAAAGATAATTCTAGAAGACTTGCACATTCCTGTTCTGAGTTTCACAGCGATTTTTCACCCTCTTTTCTGTTTTCCTGCAAACTTAAAAATGGTTTATATAAAAATGTTAACCTCCACATTTTCATATAAAAATAAATTTATTAAGCTATGATTACATCTCACAAAATTTTATCTCCTAGAAACATTCCTCATCCCAACTGACTTGCGCTGATCTCTGTCTATGCCCCGAGCTTTCTTGTTCTAGAGATTTAGTGTAAGTGAAATCATGTGATCAATGCCTACTAGGCCTGTTTGTGCCACAGCCACATGTTCTATGTTCCATCCCCTTTTATTGCTGAATAACACCATAGTGTATGGACACACCACCTTCCCATTTTGAATTTAACAACTGTAGAAATAGCATGCACTGTGTGCTACATTAGTGTGCTAAGTGTACAGTCTGGAGTGTGAAGGACGTGCACATTCTCGGGCAGCAAGTTTCCATAATTTTCATCTTCCAAAACAGGAGAGTTGACTCTAAGTGGTTTCTAATTCTTCCTCTCTCCTTTAGCTCCCAATAACCACACTGTGCTTTCTGTTTCTATAAATCTGAATAAGTATTAATTACCAGCATCAATATAATTAATAGTAACATTTGATAATTAATACTAGTTAATTAGTTATTATTTAATTATTAACAATGAACATTAATAAATAATTGTTGGTATTAAGTAAAATCGTACAACATTTCGTTCCTGGTTGATCTTATTTAGTGCAACATTCTTGAGATTCATCTAGACCACAACATGTGCCAGGGCTTTCTTCCTTTTCAAGGGTGCATAGTATTCTTGTGCACATCTATCATATTTAAAAATCCATTTTTGGGTTCATGAACTTTTAGGTTGTTTTCAGTTTTTTGGTTATTAGGAATTCTTCTCTGAAGATCTGTCAATAAGTGTGTGTGTTTTCAGTTCTTTCGGTATAGATTGCTGGGTCCTATGAAAACACAGTGTTTAACTTTCTGACCAACTGCTAAATTATTTTCCAAGGTAGCTGTGCTATTTTACACCTCCACCAGCAGGATATGGGGGATTTAACTTCTTTACACTTCTACCAATACTTGCCACTGTCTCTCCTTTTGACAACAACCATTCTGCTGAATGTGAGGTGTTGCTTCTTTGTGACTCTAACTTACATTTCCCTGATTACCAAGGATGTCCAACTTCCTCTTTATGAGGCTCATGCTTTGCTCACTGTGCTAATGGACATGGCAATAGAATCTTTAAACAGCAGAGGGGAGGGTCGTTCAGCTGGCACAGTGCTTGTGAGGCACACACGGAGCCCTAGGTCTGGTCTCCAGGACTGCACAGAACTGGGTGTGGTTACACACCTGGAATTCCAGCATTTGGAAGGTAGGGATAGAAGTAGCAGAAGTTCAAGATCATCCTGGGTTACAAAGCAAATCTGAGGCTAGCCTGGGCTGCATGAGACTCTGCCTAGGAGGAGGAAGAAGTAGAAGGGGAGGGGAGGAAGGGAGAGAACGCGGAAGCATGGGAAGAGAGTACATTTGGTTTCTGCTACTGTGAGGAAGCCAGTAACTAGAGTGAGGGGGGTCCCATTGCTCAGGTCCAATTGGTATTATTCCTGTTGATAAGAAAACTTCTAATATAATAATGCTAGCTACTATCCTAGGTGCTTTTTCATATATTTTCTTGAGAACAGCAGAAGGTCTGAAGATGTAGCTCAGTGAATAGAGTGCTTGTCTAGCACACCCGAGGCCCTGGGTACTACAGGAGCCCAGCATGGTGACACACACCTATAAGCCTTTGTACTTGGGAGGCAGAGGCAGGGAAAGCTTTCTCAGATGTACAGCAAGGTCTTTCTCAGATGTACAGCAAGTCTGAGACCAGCCTGGGTTGCTTAAGTTTCCATCTCAAAACAAAAACAATACTTGAGATACAACTTGTAGCCCTGTGAATGATTCTTTCACAACCATCCTTGAAAACTTCAAGAAATCATGCCTTTCAAGCCAACCATGGTGGTATATACCTTTAATCCCAGCACTGGAGAGGCAAAGGCAGACAGATCTCTGTGAGTTTGAGGCTAGCCTGGTCTACATAGCAAGTTCCAGGACAGCCAAGGCTACCCTGTCTCAAAAAAACAAATACAATAAAATGAACCGCATGTTCCAACCTCAGTTTACTGTCCACTGAGACTTTCTCTGCATTTTACTCATAAAGGGCCAATTCCAAGCGTCCCCCCTGCCCCCCTAACCCGTTTCTGCTCCACAGTTGTCTGCTCTCAGATTCCCATGTTGAGTGTTTACTTCTGGCCTGTGAGGGACTACTTCCTGCTACTGAGGGACTCCTGCTGGTCGATCTGCACTGGATGCCTTTGTGGAGAGAGCCCGAGTCACTGCGTGGGAAGTGTTGTGTACATCTTCTTTCTCAGGTAACTACGCGCAGAAGGAATCACAGGCAGCTGGTCCTCTTTGGTCCACTGCCTCACTATGGAAGGTCACAAATGGATGATGACGGTGACGAAAGGCATCCGAGACAACCTAAGTGTGGAGCTGCAGCTGCCAGAGAGGTTGGTCTGAGGTGTTCTGCCTCTAGAAACTTGAGAAAACTTGCTGAAACTAAGGCCAAACATGAACTAAATTCAATGCTTTAACGTTGATTTTTCTTTAGTATTATTATTGCTGTGAAGGTCTGTGTGTGACATGTGTATGATGCATGTGTGGTGAGGGCATGGTGGTGTGGGGGAAGACAGGGTGGGACATGTGCACCGCAATGACAGTGTAGAAGTCAGAGGACAACTTTTTCCCCCCAGAGTCAGTTCCTTCATTTGACTGTGGGATTCAGGGGTTGACCTCAGGTTGTCCACTTTTGAGGAAAGTGCTTTTATGCACTGAGCCATTTTATCAGTCCCTTTTTGTTTCCTTTTATATTTGAGATCATCTTGTTACATAGCCCAGGCTGGTCTTGGACTTCAGATGGTCCTTCTTTGGTTTTTAAATGCTAGAATTAAAAGTATGCAGCACCAACCTGGCATGGATTCAACGCTAATACACCATGGCTAATACTCCATATTTCTGTCACTAATAATAGGAATGGCCTCTCAGTCCTTAGGTTATTTTGTTCGACCGCCCAATTAGTTTACATCACTTTAGTTTGTTCCATAGGTTCCTGCTTGTCAATCAGCTTTCAGCTCATCTTCCAGGTTGACACCAGCAGGCAGTATCTTTATCTGCATAGAGAACATTTATTGAGTTTGAACACATGCACATTTCATGAACAACTTACAGGAAAAGCTAAATAATCTTGAAACCCGACAGGAATGTTTGGGGTATAATTATGAGAAATAAATGTCAGAGACAGGACAGCAGAATTTGTGTGTGAACGTCAAACAAGCAGAATTCATTGCAATACAGCCACATGATCTCCCCACATCATTAGCTAAAAATACAGAGTCAAGTCCGCCCCAATGTTTGCATAGAAAAGTTTTAAAACGTTCGGCATACAAAAATAGAATCAAATAATCATCTCAAGCATGATTTCTGACCAGATATTCTCATACCAGATTAGACTGAGTTAAAGTGTTTGGCTGTTAAATACCAGTTGGACTGGTAGCACATCCCACATGATATAGATTTCTTTAGAGGATAAAGGTGATGAGGAAGTGACGTTTTTGCCTCACCTGCACAGATGTATATAGGGTAGTAAAACGTGTCTGAGCTTTACCGTAGGCTAAAAACCAGGAAAAGATGAAATCTCATTCACCAATGGCAGAATGAAGCCGGCAGTGATAAGAAAGAAAATAGTACTAATATTATGTTGCTGTTAATATGAAACATCGCTAATCCTAATAATCATCTGTTAAAATAATAAAAATGTTTTCCACACATTTTCTGATTGAAATTTTGTGAGCAGCTTAGAGCTGGGTAAGGTTCTCATGCTCTTGGAGAGGCTGAGAATAGTGGTCTCTTGTCCCTTTTGAGACCTGATCCTCTTCTAGTTCAGGCTTTGTGGGAGCAAGTACTGAAATGCCAATGCACAGGTAGCCATAATGTGTATATTTTGTGTGACTTTCCAGAGATATCTAGAACAGTTATGTGCAATTTACAAAGGTACCCTACGCATTCTGACCTATAAAATCGAGAACACATTTAGGCAGAGTCACCACCAATGCCTACTGAAAACACATTTGGTTGAGTGAGAGCGGAGCGCAGCGCGGCCACCGATGACAGAGGACACGAGGCTGGCGAGAGGCTCGTCTTCAGATGCTTCGCCGCTGCTCTCTGTATCTGATCATCTCCTGTACCTAAGGAGACGAAGAAAAGGGACATTTTCCATTTGGAATTTTTATCTACTCAGAATTACTACATCTTTGTGGGGGTTAAATAAGTCGAACTTTAAAGTACAGAAGCCCTTGGGCGGAGCCAGTACAAACAATTTAGACACCACAAATTAAGGCTGCATGGTGTCATCTCTAGATAAAACCATTACAAAATAGAGATACAGGGGCTGGAGGGATGGCTCAGTGGTTAGAAGCACACACTGCTCCTGCAGAGGACTTGGGTTTGGTTCCCAGCTCCCTAGTCTGGGGGCTCACAACGGCCTGTAACTACAGCTCTAGGAACCCTCTTCATAACTGTCACTTTGACATTGCTATGAATCGTAATGTAAATATCTATGTTTTATGGTCTTGGGTGACCCCCCAAAGGGGTCACGACCCACAGGTTGAGAACCCCCGGCTGAAGAAGACACCAGTGACTGAACCGCTCCTTGAAATATCAGCGTGCCGGATAGGTGGAGACAGGAGGATCCCTTTAGGAAGGAAAAAAAGGGTGACGGCTTTTTTATGTGGGTGCCAGGGACCAAACTCAGGTCCTCATGCCTACGTGGGAAGCAGTTTACTCAGCCCTCCTAAAGTGATTTTTCTAATTCAGTTTTCAGTGATAAAATTTCTACTCAGGGGCTGAGGAGAGGAGCAAAAGTAAAAGTCCTTGCTGTATAAACAGCAGGGCCTGAGTACAAAATCCACACAAGAGCCAGAGATGTGAGGCAGGAGCATTTTTTTTTTTTTTTTTTTTTTTTGAGATAGGGTTTTTCGCCTGGCTCTGCCTCCCGAGTGCTGGGATTAAAGGCGTGCACCACCGTGGCCGGGTGTGGCAGGAGCACTTTTAATCATGGTGTTTCTACAGGGATATGGGAGGTAGAGAAAATTTGGGCAGACACTCAGAGCCGGCTAGCCTGGTATAGTCAGCAGCAAAACAACAAAGAGACCCTGTCTTAAACAAAGTGGAAAGTGAAGAACGACACTCCAGGTTGCCCTCTGACCTCTGCATGTGTTCCAAGGCACCCACAATGCCCATGTTCTCACAGATGAATGCGCACACACACACACACACACACACACACACACACACACACACACACAGACACACACAGGACATGAGAGAAGATTCCTTCATTGCGTTTGTGAGCCCCATGGATAAACCTCCATCGGATCCCAGAAACATGCACTCACAGGACAGATCAAAGTGTAGCCAATGCTTGAGCATTTGATCGGAGGTAAGACATCAATCACAAAAGATAAGCTAGAACTCAGGGTTTGACGCTCAGCACGTTACCAGCCAGCAAAACTCCCAACATTCACCAAAGGACTACAGCAGAACTCAGTCTGCATACTGTGTTCACACCATTCAGGACTTACAGTGTGAATCTTACAGACACCTAAAAATGCCATCCACCATACAGGAAAAGTAGTAGATAATGACTCAGAGATAATCTTATTGTTGAGATGATCAAAACAGGGCCTTTAAAGTCAGGAGATCTTTGTCTAGGAAACAAAAAGTACACTGAAAAGAAAAGAAAAACACAGGAAATGGCAGAAGAAGTGGAAAACATCAAAACGACCAACTAGAAATTCTTCATTCATTTTTTAAAATTATGATACAATGATATCATTTTCTTCCTTCCTTTTCCTCCTTCCAATTCCGTCCATATCCTTCTTACTCCTTCTCAAATCCATGGCCTTTAGTGTGTGTGTGTGTATATGTGTGTGTGTGTGTGTGTGTGTGTGTGTGTGTGTGTGTGTGTGTACAGTTATGAAGCAGCAATGAAAGTAATTTTATGGTTGGGGTCCCCACCACATGAGGAACTGTACTAAAGGGTCGCAGCACTAGGAAGGCTGAGGACCACTGGCTTAGGCTGACTGGACATCTAGCCCAGCCCAATTAGTGAACTTCATGTCTCATCTTGTCTGTCTGTCTGTCAGTCAGTCAGTCTGTCTGTCTGTCTGTTTTTACACAGGGCTGCCTAGAATTCACTACATAGCCAGGCTATCTTCAAACTCACAGCAATCCTCCTGCCTTAGTTTTCTAAGCACTGGGATTCCAGTTTTGAATCACCACACTCCACTCCTCTGTATTTATCATATTGTATTCTGTTGTTTCTTATAATTTTATTCCACATTCATTTCTCTTTTCTATCCTCCTTTTCTTTTTCTTTTCCCCTCTTCCTTTCTTTTTAAACTACCTAGTTATTTATCCCTCTAGCTTTGACACTGTTTAGACTCTTAGCTCATCCTGAAGGTGTTTAATTCTCGTCTAGCCTTATCGGAGTGCAGTTCATTCATTCATGTTTCTATGGGGTTTTTGTTTGTTTGTTTTGCTTTTTGGTGGTTGTTGCTACAATTAAATACATAATCTCTTTTGAATTGCTTTTATTACTGCTGTCTGAGGTGACTGAAGACAGGTTGAGGAAATTTCACATTCAGACAGCCATAAAGAAAAAAAAATACACACACGAATATAACCATAACTTTGAAGAACCTTGGGATGTGATCAAGAGGCCAAACCTCAGAACCCATGGTGTAGAAGAAAGAGCTGAGATGAAAAATTAAAGGTTGGCTCTCTGGTTAGGAGAGCTTTCTGCTCTTCCAGAGGAATCAAGTTCAGTTCCCAGAACCCACATTAGGGGCTTCACAACCACCCAAACTCCAGTTTCAGAGCATCCTACATCTTTTTTATGTCTTTTATGGACATCCTTACCACCCCCCCACACACACTCACACTCACGTAAGCATAAATATCTTTAGGGAAAAATAACTAATTCAATGAAATTATAGCAGAACTGTCCCCAAATATAGGAAAAGAGATGGGCATTGAAGTGTAGGAGTCATTTAAAATTCTAAATAAGCATAACCAGAAAATGATTTCTCCACAGTGCATTATAACTAAAATTCTTAGACTAAAGAACGGAAGAAGACAATTGAAAGCTGAGTTGCAGGGGAAAGATATCAACTTATGAAGGCAAATTATTCACAACTATAATGGACTTCTCAGCAGGAACTGAGCACTGAGAAAGCATGGAACAATATATTTCAAGCCCTGAGAGATAACTGTGGGTCCTGAGGACTTGGGAATCGTATAGAGTCAGTCACTAGAGACAGGCGAATATTCTTTGATTAGTGTGGAGACAGTCACGCCTACAGAGAAGGTTAAACCTTGGAGAATACCCACAGGATGGACACCTGTCTAGGAACAAGGTAGCCACCGGGGATGGAGGAAGGTTAGGGATTAACTGGAGTTGAAGGTGAGAAGTGGTTACAGGGTCAAAGGTCTCAGGGTTGAGGAAGGGAACCCTGGAGAGATTTTTTCAGTTGGCCTGTGGGACGTTTTTGTGATGCCCAAGATCACAGTTTGGGAAGAGGAATGAGATGAAGGATGATTACAGGGGACTTGGAGAAGAAATGGAAAAGAACCGCGTGCCTACATCAGCTTCTCGACAGTTTTGTTTGTGGCTTTACCCCAACATCTGAAGCTCAGCTGATCATGGTCAAATCATCATCTCACCTTCTACCTTCTTTCCCAATGGCACTAACATTTTGTCGTTCATTTATGAGCAGGGAAGAACTCAGTGTTCCAGAGATATGTTTGGATATGTAACCATTAGAAATACATGTGTATGTGTGTCAAGAAATTAGTATAACTGTGTTACACTAGCATCAGTCATAACAACCCACATGGGCTCACTGATGTCTAACTCAGAATAGAGAATTCACAAATAAAAAGGAATAACAACATGGATCTATGAGTGAATCTCATTAGCAGGTTGCTGATCAAAGAAGAAAGCTCTTAAGTAATCAGTACATATTTAATTCCTTTCATATTAAATTTTTAAAGGATTTGACATTTTGTGTAGAGAAAGGGTAAGGCACAAAGTTGAGTTCTGAGGAGCTGGCAATATGATGTCTCTTGATTTTGAAGGAAGAAAGTAGGACTGTGAGTCAAAAGGTTAACTCTAGAACCTAGCAACGGACAAGACTGCCCTTCACAGATGGTGGTGGTGCACGCCTTTAATCCCAACACTCAGGAGGCAGAGCCATGCAGATCTCTGTGAGTTCAAGGCCAGCCTGGTCTAAGAGTGAGCTCTAGGACAGGCACCAAAACTATACAGAGAAACACTGTCTCAAAAAAACCAAAAACCAAAAAAAAAAAAAAAAAAAAAAAAGGCAGGGGGGTGGGGGGACGGGCAGGAGAGATGGCTCAGCGGTTAAGAGCACTGGCTGCTCTTTCAGAGGTCCTGAGCTCAATTCCCAGCAACCACATAGTGGCTCACAACCATCTGTAATGAGATCTGGTGCCCTCTTCTGGCCTGCAGGGGCACATGCAGGCAGAACACTGTATATATGATAAATAAATACATCTTTAAAAAAAAAAAAGACTGCCCCCCAGGCATTCCTATATCATCCCCTGGAGATCATTCTATGGCTTGTATGATGGCCCCCTCCAATGAACAGGAAAAATAACACCACATTTAGGAAATAAAACCTAGGATATTCCCAAGGAGACACACATGTATGTGAAAGAAATAGTGTCCCAAGGTCACTTTGGGATGTCATAAAGAACTTAGGGGCTACAGCACATGAACAGCATATCATTTTCTCACTATAACAGAGAGGATTATGGGATGGTCAGCACATGCTCAATAAGGATGAGGTTATATAACTTAGGTCAGTCCAAGGAATACCCACTCCTTCAGGGAACCCTTCCCATCCCCTTTATAATTAAAAGCCCCTGGAGTGGAAACAAGGCAGCTCTTGAGAGCTCTTGAGTCTCTGCCTGAGACTGACTCTGCTCTGTGGAGTGTGCTCTTTGCATTCACTTTTAATCAAACTGTCTTAGTCAGAGTTCGATGGCTGTGAAGGGACACCATGACTACAGTGTCGGGTCCTTCCTGACTATTGAACAATCCTTGAAGGGAGGAGTGAGGATTAAGAAATAATAGATATGAAAAATATATGATGTAAAAGGCAAAGACAGATACATAGAATAGCATCGGGAGGGCTCTGGGTCAATACCACAGTTGCCCCGAGTTTATTCTTCATGAATTTTTTATACACAAGCAAGGAGACAGGCAAAAGACCTCCCCCTCTTTCAAGGACACGATAGTTCAAGGTACAAAGTACAGACAAGTGTAAACACTTAGTTAATTCTCAAAACATCTAGTAGCCATGCCTTATGGCAAAATATCCTGTAATTAGGCCTTGAAGTATAAGACACCTGGTAATCATGCAGTTGGCCAAAACATTCTATTATGCAGCCTTGCAGGGCAGAAGAAACTCGGACTCTCTGACCTTGAGTCAATATGAAATAAGGTCATACCATGGTGTCTCTGTGGGTCCCCACACCACAGCAGCTCTCATAAGGGAAAACATTTAATTGGGACCTGGCTTACAGTTCACGGAGGTTTAGTCATTATCATCATGGTGGAAAGTGTGGAGGCATGCAGGCAGACATGGTGCTAGAGAGGGGCTGAGAGTTCTACATCTGGATCCCCAGGTAGTAGGAAGGAGGGGAGAGACTCTCGGCCTGACTTGAGCATCCGAGACCTCAAAGCCCATCCTCAGTGACACACTTCCTCCAACAAGGCCACACTTACTCCAGCAAGAACATACCTCCTAATAGTGCCAGTCCATATGAGCCTATGAGGCCCTTTACATTCAAGCTACCACAAAAAGCTATGCTTTTGCATTGATTTTCTGTGTTTTGCTCCATGCTTTGAGTTCCTTAAGACTCATCCTCTGATAATAACTTGGTTGGTGATTTCATAGATCCAATCACTTAATATTAGTCAATTAGGCTATACAATTTCATCTGTTCAGTTTTCTGCATGTATGACTGAAAAGTTCTAAAAATGAAAAAAAATCTCCCCTTTGAAAGAGCAAATAGTTACTTCCATTCAGCATTAATTATTCTGGAGATTTCTAACCTGTGTACTGTATAGATCATTATCCCAACCAAAACAACAACCAGAAAAACAGATTGTATGTTCACCATAGAATTCTATGAAGGTGATTCATAAAGGGGTTACTTAAAAAAGAAATAGGTATAGAGAGTCATATGGAGCAAGGTAATCATTTAAAGCTAGAGATAGTAGAAGTAACTTTAGGCCTGAAGGGTGTGTGAGTGTGTGTGTGTGTGTGTGTGTGTGTGTGTGTGTGTGTGTGTGTGTGTGTGCGCGAGCACACACATGCCTGCGCTGAGGTGGGATATGAATATTATTGGAATCCAAAAGGTAATAGTCATGCAAAATAAGATGCCTCCAGACAGACAGATCAAAATGTAATCAATAAAGAAGGGTGTAGAATAAATCTGAGCACACCTTTCTTTTTTATTCCCATTCTTCGTCCAGGGTTTTTCATTGGCTTACCCCATTGGAGAATCAGGATACAAGCTTAATTTAGTCCCTATAGACCAGCCCCTCTGTAGGATGGAGAAGAGAGGAAGATGGTTGTGAAGTATCAAAGAGAAGACCTGCAATACATGTGATAAGACAAAGGGTCAAGAAGAGTTATTGGGAAGGTCAAAAGAAGACTCGCAAATGACATGTGTGTGTCTGAGGAAACCCACAGTGCTTCAATACTGAAACACTTTGCTAGAATCAAGTCAGGTTCAGTGAGGCTAATGACTATAAGAATAGCAAAAATATTGTATTTCTACATGCCAGCTAGTTAGATCCTAAAATTTTAAAAATTTCTATGTACAGTAGCATCGAAACATTAAATGCCCATGAGAAAAGCCAATAAAATACATGCATAACATGCATGCAAATAATAATTGTACTAAGAGAACTTAAGACCTAAATGGATGGCAAGTAAGGATGGGGAACACTCATTTGAAAGCTGCCACGTCTCCCCAAGGAAAAACCCAGTTGAGACTGAAGGAAACCACACACACAAAAAATTCTACTAGTGTATGTTTGTATGTACATGGAGGTTCCCGTTTGTGTAACTTCATGAATAATTCTTAAAACTAGTATGGAAATAGAGATCCAAGAAGATCAGAGATATGTTTAAAGAATAATAAAGTGGGCAAGCTTTCTCTATTGAGTTATTCCAGTCACAATAATTAAGAGTCTTATTTTGTAGCAAAAGTATAAATAAATATGTGGGATGATTGAAATACAGAGCAGTGTATAAATTATGGCCTTTTACTAAAAGGAGCTGCTTTCTGGATGAATGAAAGAAGTGAATCTTTACCCAATCCCCTATTATACACAAATCTGATTCAAGATTATAGACATAGATGTGAAAGGGAACAAACAAACCCTGCTTCATTTTACACTAACACACACACACACACACACACACACACACACACACACACACACACACAGTAATGTAGGAAACCATAATCAAATGTGGGTAAAACTTCCAACAGAAGACATTGGAAATAATAATCATAAAGAAAAATATTGTTACATTTGATATTAAGCTTAGGCATTTCTGCTCATCGAAAGATGTAAGGTAGAAAGTGTAACAGGGGATGGAAGGATAGACAAAACAGATGTGATTAACCAAACACCATAGCCAGAAGACACAGACGCCTGTTGCTAAGGAGTAAGGCATAAAGCAATACTATAGAAAAACAAGTGTTTCCAAATGGCCAGTAAACAGATGGAAAAGCCTGCAAATGCCTACCAGCTAGGAAAAGGCACAGGGACACTGTAAATGTTACCTACTGGCTTACCTGAACAGCCAAGGCTAAACACAGTGGCGACAGTGAGCACTGGGAAAGCCACAGAGCTGCCGGGGGAAGGGGTGCACATTGGTGCACTCATGTTGGAAAACGAAAACACTCCATGTGAAGCTAAGCAAATACGTGTTCTACAATCCGGTGATTAAAGTATGCAGTGTCGTTCACTGAACGACATGAATGGGAAAGCTCACAGCAAGATTTTTTTTTTTGTAATAGCTCCAAATGGGAAATAATCTGCATGTCCATGAAAAAAAATGAATGGCTCAGCCGTAGTATTCTACGTGATGAGTAGCATGGAGTGACGAAAATGCATGAACACAACAGATGGATCCATCTCATAGACATAATTTTGGGCAAAAGAGGTAAGACAAAAACAGTACTGAGCATAGATGGTTCAATTCAGAGAGCTTGCAGGTCTAAACAGAAGTGTTTCACGATTCATGTGCAGCAGTAATATTTTAAAGAGAAGTGAGCAAGTTATTGCAAAGGTCAAAATAAGCAATTCCTTTGTGGGAAGTCATGATGAGGAAGGCTTCTGTGATGCCAGGGATGTTCTTTTTCAGTTGGAGACAGGGCCTCACTACAAAGCCCTAGCTGGCCTTGAACTCACAGAGATCTGTCTGCCTCTGCTTCCTGAGCACTGGCATTCACGATGTGAGCCACCATCCCTAGCTTTGTTCTGTATTTCAATAACAACTCTCGAATGGAAGCTGCAGTATGTTTCCTTCACGGTGACTTGGAGCTGTTCACGGTTTGCTTTGTTCCTCTGTCTGTGTAGGTGCCGTTTTCTGACAATGAGAATAGAAGGGTTGTTCACTCTCCCACTCCGTACCTGGTCGAGCATGAAATACAGGGGATCATCCGGCTTTTCATAGACGAGGTTTTCAGTGATATGCTGAGAGAAAACACAACGCACCATGGTTTGGTTCTGAGAGGTTTGCAGTCAGCTCCCCACTACCCGAGGGTATATCATAGTTCATGTTAAAGACATCCACATGTCCCCAAGTAACATTTTACTTTCTTTATTTGAATGAAGTCAGGCAAATTAAGATCAAATTTGGAGGGATAAAATTTTAATTTAAGGAGCAATGAATATTTTTTGGTTGTTTCCAAGACCAAAGAGGTGGTGGGAAAGTTGTAAAGCATTTTGAGAACTGTCATATTGCTAGATGATCAGTCAATAAATTGTTTGCTTGAAAAAGAATCCAAGAATGGTGTTTTGAATAGAAATAGAAAACACTGGGGATTTACATATGATCTTCCAAAATGTTTGACTTTAAAATGTGAAAATTATGTTTAGTTTTAGTATTAAACGAGGAAGGATATATCAGATTCATGAGACAGACTTTATGCTTTTTGCTGTTATTGAATAACTCAAAATGTTATCATAAAGCAAGCAAACATTTCATTTTCAGGGAATAATAATCAGGTACATTTCAGGAATAATATATTCAAATATGCTCAATGTATCTGTGCCACTCAATTATGTATTCAATATATACTTGGAATTTTTAATTTAATTAATTAATCAATTGATTTTATAGTGCTGGAGACCTTGTGCATGTCAGGCACATGCCCTCTCGCTGAGCTACATCTCCAGCCCTTTCATACATATTTGTATTGAACAATGTACATAGTTGATAATTTATTTTCCTTAATATCACACTGCATTCACAAGCATTATTTTTTCTTTAATTTGAAAAATTATAGAATCATCAATTAAAAAATTATTTATTATTAGTGTGTATGTACATGTGTACATGTGTGTGTGTGCGTACCTTGGTAAATTTGGGGAGCTTGTATTACTGTGTATGTATGTGTGTGCTTATGAGTGTGTATACCTTGGTACATGCGGGGAGCTTGTATTAGTGTGAATGTACATGCGTGCGTGCGTGCGTGCGTGCGTGCGTGTGTGTGTGTGTGTGTGTGTGTGTGTGTGTGCACCTTGGTACATGTGGGGAGCTTGGAGGCCAGCTCTGTGGAGTCAGTTCTCTCCTTCCCCCTTTACATGGGTTTGGAGGACTGAAGTCAGGTCATTAAGCTTTTTAGACCAAAAGGCCAGGGCTTTTACTCCACTGATCTATATCTTGTTAGCCCTCAAACTCTGCTTTCCTAAATACATTCCCTCCTTCTATTTAGCAATGACTAGTTCCCTGATTAAAGGCAGAAACCTAGCCACTTGTACTATACCAATCATAGGACATTTTAAGAGGGAAACACCACAAAACAGACCTAACGAAACAGATATTTTTAAATCCCTATTTTATATGAGGAGTCTGAGTAATATCCCCCACTCACGGAGCTGTGACCAACTTAGAGTTTGAATGGTGGTGCTCATAGCCTGTGGTATTTATACTCTTCCCCTGGACCAATAGTTCTCAACCTTCCTAATGCTGCGACCCGTTAATACAATTCCTCATGTTGTGCTGACCCCAACCACAGAATCATTTTCGTTGCTACTTCATAATTGTCATTTTGCTACGGTTATGAATCATGATGCAAATATCTGTTTTCTGTTGGCCTTAAGTGACCCCTGTGAAAAGGCCCTTTGACCCCCAAAGAGGTCTGGGCCTACAGGTTGAGAAAGAACCACTGCTCTTTACCCTACTTCAAACTTTTCTATTTTGGATGCTTTCATTAGGGGCAAACTGCTCTAATTTTACACCTGTCTAAAACAGATACTCTTAAACACACACTGTTATAGGTGGATATGTGGGTTGCTTGTCGAATAATAGTACTGTGAAAAGAAATGTACTTGGTGAACAAAAACAACCCACCGCATTACAGCTGCAATAATCTCTCGTAGCTCCATACTGCTCAAGAAATCTCTCTAAAGGAAGTTCCTGCTTTAAACGCCGGCATCAGTGAGATCTATGAATTCAGGAACTGGAAGGAATTTGTTAATCTACCACTTCCTTTGGAAGAATGTTGCTCTCAGTTGGTCCTGAGAATGGCCTCTTTTTGAAGACCCAGCTCTAAAAAGCTCTTTAGTTTTGGTTTTCACTGATTTTTTTTCTTACAAACTTATTTAAAACTAAAAAGTTAATTGCTGGCCCAATTCTTCCCCAACAACCATCCTTCATGGCCTCCAATGCCTTTGACGGTCTTAACGTTACAGTATCCTTTGCTTGGTGTGTCTCATCTACTCCTTTTGGTGAAAACACTAATTGCCGAAATAGACCCGTGCTACCCCACCATGCCCCCCCGCCTTTTTCAGAAGATTTCTTCTGCCACATTTAAAGCCCATACCAGGAAGGAAGGTTAAGCATTAAGAGCTTTACCTGGAATATCTGGAGAATGTTGTGCTTTTCCATGTAGCGGAGTGCCACTTGGTAAGGGTCTTCAAAAATGATTGGAGGGAACCGCCTCGTGTAAGTTTGGCTGGTTCTCTGAGAACCCTTTCTTTGCTCAATTTCCGTTTGAATATCCTGAAATTGAAATATTCCCCCAAAGATTTATCTTTTTTTTAAAAAAAAATAAATCTAAAAGTAATAACACATTTTTTTTGCTGTTCTTATCAGTGGGATCTAGATTTGACGAAATTTAAAATTAAGAATTAAGATTTAACACCAAGAATTAAGGAAGATACGGCTATGCTACTTTCATGGTGTGTGTGTGTGTGTGTGTGTGTGTGTGTGTGTGTGTGTGTGTGTGTGTATGTGTGTGTGTGTGTGTGTGTATGTGTGTGCACGTGTGTGAGCATGTGTGTTTGTGACTAATGACCTTCAGGGTTCCTTACAGGAGTGTGGTTCAAAGGTTATTTACAGAAGCATGACTAACTGTAACCAGTGGTTACGCTATTGAAGAAAATATATCTGTCCCAGTAACCACTAACTGCCTATGATCCTCAGAACCAGTTCTATGAGAGAGAGATCTAACATATCCTTAAGCACTATAAAGCACCTCAAAACTTGGTGGGAGGCTACCTTAAGCTTTTCTGCTTCAAATACTTTCTCTCACACAGGGATTTCCAGTTCACTTCAAACCCACTCGCTATGGTAGAAACCTAGCATGGGAAATGATTGAGTAGCACAGTGTTAGTAGCAGAACAGGAAAGCCTTGGCTTCCTAAATCCTGCTTCACTGATCCTTCTTGAGTGGCCTGAGGATAATTAGGAGGCAACATACCTCTGTTTCACATCCTTCGTGAAACTTATGGATTGCGTAGAAGATGTTACATGGGTTTATTCCTCATCTCTGATTTAGCATGCATTGTTCTATCCCCGTGTTCTGTTCTGGTTCCTAACCCCACGGGTCCTGTCCTGTCCTTTAACCTCCCAGGCAGGTATCAGAATGTCCCTTTTACCTACAGTAGTGATTTCTGTGCTTTGAAATTTGTCTTGGTTGGAGGAATAGTACGTTTTGGTTGTGATGGAGGGCAGTTTTTCGTACGAGGACTGGGAGTCACTGGTGAATTCCATATCGTGTAGGTTGTAAGCTTGGATAGTGGTTGTACTTTCTGTTTCCCCGGCAGTTGAAACCTTGGATTTGAGGTCCGTTTGGCTATCTTCAAATGTGCAAGGCTGTATTTTGAAGTCAGCTTCTTCGACCTCTTTGGTGTCACCGATATCAGATAATGACCGGTTCTCAGCCTGGGCAATTGTTTTGTAGTATGAACGGTAGTCAGCTGGTTTTTCTGTTTCATGGCTAGTACTGTCATAGTTCCTTTCTGAACCTTCACTAAACCTACGTTGCTCAGTGGCATCTTCAGCCACATCAGCTTGGTTGTAGAACTGGCGTTGACTCTTTCCTGATGTTCTATAGTCAGCTTGGTCTGATAAGGTGTGCTCGCCATACTCCCAAGTTCCTTGATCAGCCTGCTCAGAAGTTTTCCCACCAGATGGCAAAGACGCTTGGTCTTCTATCTTCTCGGAGGCTTTTCTCTCATGTAGGCTGGGCGGTTGCTGACTAGTTGGCTTAGAAGTTCTTCTCTCAGCCTGGCCAGATGATCTACGGTCAACTTGCTGAGATGGTCTCTTGTCAGTGTGACCAGGGGACCTGTGGTCAGTTGGCTGAGAAGCCTCTTCTGAAGTTCTTTGGTCAGTCTGTCCGGATCCTGCACTAGCATCTTGGCTGGATGCCTTGTCACCAGTTTGCTCGGATGGTCCAACCCCAGCATCATCAGAACCTCTTTGAGGAGCCTGGCCTGCTCCTCCTTCTATGTAGGTCTCCTGGTTATTTGGGGTCTGGCCTGGATTTTCACGGTTCAAGGATCCATCTGGAGCCTCTTGTGGAGGCTCATCCATTTTCTGCTGCACCTCTGACTGGCCTCAGTTGCCAGGCAGTGTGGGAGGGGCCTGGGCTTGGTTGTCTAGGCAACCTTCCATGGGCTTTGTTCTGCCTCTGCTAGGGCAGCTCAGAGTAGGTGGGTGGATATCTGGCTAATGACTGGGCGACAGTCACTGGCAATAGGAAGACTGCCCATGGGCTACTGCAGTGTGAGCAAGAGCTGGGACACTGTCTCCTGAGAAGAGAAGAGGTGAAACCCATAGACAGGCAATCTGGCTCTATTACTGCCTAGTGTAGTGTTTTTTTTTTTTTTTTTTTTTTTTTTTTTTTTTTTTTTTTTGCCAAGACAGGGTTTCTCTGTGTAGTTTTGGAGCCTGTCCTGGATCTTGCTCTGTAGACCAGGCTGGTCTTGAACTCACAGAGATCTGCCTGGCTCTGCCTCCTGAGTGTTGGGATTAAAGGCATGCACCATCACCATCCAGCTTTGTTTTTTTTGACTCTTACTCTTTTGGCTCTTTACTCTTTGGAGGCCCACCATCCAGCTCCCAAATAAATCACACAGAGTCTTATACTTACTTATGAATGCCCGGCCTTAGCTTGACTTATTTCTAGACAGCTTTTCTTAACTTATCCCGTCTACTTTTTTGCCCTGGGTATTTTCCTCTTCTTACTTCTGTGTACCTGACTTTCATTCTTACTCCATGGCAGGCCCCTGGCATCCTCCTCTCCATTTCTCACTCTTCAATCCTGCTCTTCCCTGGTCTCTCCTCCTATTTATTCTCTCTGCATGCCAGCCCCACCTATCCTTTCTCCTGTCTAGCTATCAGCTGTTCAGCTCTTTATTAGACCAATCAGGTGTTTTAGACAGGCAAAGTAACATAGCTTCACAGAGTTAAATAAATGCAGCATAAAAGAATGCAACACATCTTTGCATCACTAAACAAAAATTCCACAGCATAGACAAATGTAACACATCTTTAACTAATATTCTACAACAGCCTAGCAATGAGGTCTCATAGGCATCTAGATTATTTTATTTTTTTCCAGGCAGGTTCAGGCAGTGTGGGCACTAGGTACCACTCTCAGACTCCACTCTTATAATCAACCCCTCCCACTAAACAACATGAGGGTCCCACACCTGAGAGGATAGACTAATATTGCCATTAAACTAAATTCATACTGCTTTGGGGTTTGACTTTGCCTTGTCACAGCCATGCTGTGTAGCATGTGAGGCATTTTCTTGCTGAGTTAGATGAATGGTCTATGGCTGGAATGACAGCGGGCAGATCTAGTGAGAATGGGTTCTAAAGGCATCCTGTCAAGTAGTCTTAGAACAAATACAGTGTTAGGGTGAGAAGGCCAAACCAGAGTCCCAGAAAGGAAGAAAATGAAATGTGGACATATACCAAAAGAAGTAGTTTGACAAATAGAGAATTTGCGCTTGGTAGTGGTGGCCTACTGGCCACCAGGTTTTAAGATGTGCACCCATCTTCTAAAGTAAACTTTAAATAATGCATGTGTGAGGTCAGATAATCCATTACCATAAGTTTAATTGCATTTAGCAATTAGAGATTTAAAGTTCAAAAGCCAATAGTTGGGGCCAATCTGTGGAGGGAGTGGGAACTCGGCTCCAAATTCAGGAACAGAGAGGGAACTCCAGGTCACTGAGAGAAAGCCATTTTTGAACAAGTGCCTAAAACAGAGCAGTACCTCCAAAAGTGTCTGCTGGATGAAAATTTATAAATGATCTGCCGTATTTAAGACCATATAGGAGAAGTGGACACCATGTTAGCGTAAGATAAGTGATGAACTGCCTTATAGCTTGTACCTTCCAAAAGATATGTCTGTATCTGCTTTTCATTTACATACAACCATCATAGAAAGAGAACCATAAAGAAAATATTTCCTCAATATTAAAGATACTTTAATATTGATATGCATATGTATATATTTTTAAAATTTTATTTTATAATTTAATTTAATTTTACATATCAGCCATGGATTCCCCTGTTCTTCCCCCTCCTCCCCCCGCCTTCCCCCCAGCCCACCCCCCATTCCCATCTCCTTCAGGGCAAAGACTCCCCTGGGGATTCAGCTCTACCTGGTAGATTCAGTCCAGGCAGGTCCAGTCCCCTCCTCCCAGGCTGAGCTAAGTGTCCCTGTATAAGCCCCAGGTTCCAAATGGCCAGCTCATGCACTAAGGACAGGTCCTGGTCCCACTGCCTGGGGTCCTCCCAAACAGTTCAAGTTAATCAACTGTCTCACTTATCCAGAGGGCCTGATCCAGTTGGGGGCTCCTCAGCTATTGGTTCATAGTTCATGTGTTTCCATTAGTTTGGCTATTTGTCCCTGTGCTTTTTCCAATCTTGGTCTCAACAATTCTCGCTCATACAATCCCCCCTCTTTCTCGTCAATTGGACTCCTGGAGCTCCACCTGGGGCCTGGCAGTGGATCTTTGCATCCACTTCCCTCAGTCATTGGATGAGATTTCTAGCACGACAGTTAGGGTGTTTGGCCATCCTATCACCAGAGTAGGTCAGTTCGTGCTGTCTCTCGACCATTGCCAGCAGTCTGTTGTGTGGGTATCTTTGTGGATTTCTGTGGGCCTCTCTAGCACTTTGCTTCTTCCTATTCTCATATGGTCTTCATTTACCATGATCTCTTATTCCTTGTTCTCCCTCTCTGTTCTTGATCCAGCTGGGATCTCCTGCTCCCCTAAACTCTCTTTCCCTCGACCCTCGCCCTTCATTACCCCCACTCATGTCCAGGCTGTTCATGTAGATCTCATTCCATTTCTCTGTCATTGGGCAATCCCCGTGTCTTTCTTGGGGTCCTGTTTTCCAGGTAGCCTCCCTGGTGATGTGAGTAGCAGTCCAGTCATCCTTGTTCCACATCTAGTATCCTCCTATGAGTGAGTACATACCATGTTTGTCTTTCTGAGTCTGGGTTACCTCACTCAGGATGATTTTTTCTAGATCCATCCATTTGCCTGCAAACCTTATGATGCCATTGTTTTTCTCTGCTGAATAGTACTCCATTGTGTATATGTACCACATTTTATTTATCCATTCTTCAGCTGAAAGGCATATAGGTTGTTTCCAGATTCTGGCTATTACAAACAATGCTGATATGAACATAGTTGAGCAAGTGCCCTTGTTGTATGATTGAACATTCCTTGGGTATATGCCCAAGAGTGGTATAGCTGAGTCTTGGGGGAGATTGATTCCCAATTTTCTAAGAAAGCGCCATATTGATTTCCAAAGTGGCTGTACAAGCTTGCATTCCCACCAGCAATGGAGGAGAGTTCCCCTAGCTCCACATCCTCTCCAGCATAAGGTGTCTTCAGTGTTTTTGATCTTAGCCATTCTGACAGGCGTAAGGTGGTATCTCAGAGTGGTTTTGATTTGCATTTCCCTGATGATTAGGGATGTGGAGCAATTCCTTAAATATCTTTCAGCCATTTGAGCTTCCTCTGTTGAGAATTCTCTGTTTAGTTCTATAGCCCATTTCTTAATTGGACTGTTGGGCATTTTGATGTCTAATTTCTCGAGTTCTTTATATATTCTGGATATCAACCCTCTGTAAGATGTGGGATTGGCCGGGCGGTGGTGGCGCACGCCTTTAATCCCAGCACTCGGGAGGCAGAGCCAGGCGGATCTCTGTGAGTTCGAGGCCAGCCTGGGCTACCAAGTGAGTTCCAGGAAAAGGCGCAAAGCTACACAGAGAAACCCTGTCTCGAAAAAAAAAAAAAAAAAAAAAAAAAAAAAAAAAAAAAGATGTGGGATTGGTGAAGATCTTTTCCCATTCTGTAGGTTGTCGCTTTGTCTTGTTGACTGTGTCCTTCGCTCTACAAAAGCTTCTCAGTTTCAAGAGGTCCCATTGATTGATTCTTTCTCTCAGTGTCTGTGCTACTGGTGTTATATTTAGGAAGTGATCTCCTATGCCAATGCGTTCAAGACTACTTCCTACTTTCTCTTCTATCAGGTTCAGAGTAACTGGATTTATGTTGAGGTCTTTGATCCACTTGGACTTAAGTTTTGTGCATGGTGACAGATATGGATCTGTTTGCAGCCTTCTACATGTTGACATCCAGTTATGCCAGCACCATTTGTTGAAGATGCTTTCTTTTTTCCATTGTACAGTTTTGGCTTCTTTGTCAAAAATTATATGTTCATAGGTGTGCAGATTTATGTCAGGGTCTTCAATTCGATTCCATTGGTCCACATGTCGGTTTTTAGATAAGCATATGTATATTAATATGTATGTGTTATATCTATACATGTCCTATCTATAGGCATGCATACATATTACCAAATGATCATGGATTTGAGGTCTTTCTTGGATAGTGTAGATATTTGTAGTCACACATTTTGCTGTCTTGTCTACCCTACTGCTTCCCATAACTTTTTGGTGTATTGTGCTTTGTTTTACCCATTTCAATGTATTTTCTCATGTCCCCTTAGGAGTTCTGATTTGGCAGGTTATCTAGATATTTAATTTCTAACATTCATGAGCTTTCAGGTTTTCTTGATTAATTCCTAGCTTCAACCTTATGTGTTCTGAGAGGACACGATCTTTTCTAACGCACAGAGGCTCACTGTGTGCCCTAGCTAACACACCACTGTCTAAAGACAAGGCCCATGAGAGGAGTGTGTATTTCCCATTGTTGGGAAGAGTGGCTTTCCTGTGTTAGATGTCTGTTTTCTTATGTTGTTCATGTCTCATAGTTGCTTATTGAATAGTTTAAACAGTCTATCCACTATTGAAAGTGAGGTATTGAAATCCCCAAGTGCTTTTGTAAAATTGCCATTTCCCCCTTCAAATCTGTTAAGATTATTTCATGTTTTGAAGTCAGCAAAATTCCATAAAAAATGTGGTTACAATTCTTCTACCTTTGTGTTTAGTTGACCGTTTTATCAGTATGTAATAGTTTATGACCTAAGTTTTATTTTCCTTTGTCTGATATTACTCTAGCAAGCAAGCTCTCTCTGGTCACGGTGTGTGTGGTCTTTTCAAA